GGACTCCATCTTAACGGCCTTGTCCCACCTAAACAGTTCTATGATTCAACTAGCAAATGGGAGTATTTATACAGCATTTAAATGTGCTTTGATTTGCATATCAAAGTTGCTATCTCAGTATGCATGTTAATTTAAGGACAGAATGAGACACAACTATTCCTGGAAGACAAAACCTCATTCTATACCGATTTATGTTCCGAAAGACCCCAACAGATGGCAGAGAGCATCTTCCTCTGCTAATACAAGAGGAAAGAACCAAAACCAAACCAACCAAAACTCCTGGTCCAAAAAGCCTGGACTCCTCTGACTCAACATCATAAAATCAGAGAATCCCAGGTTGGAAGGGTCCTCAAGAATCACCTGATCCAACCTGTCTGGGCAAAACATGACCTAGACTATCGTCCTAAACACAATGAAGCCTTGAAAAGGCAACTTGGCCAAAGCTCAGAGGCACGATTTGATAGGGAACTACTTCCCAAGGAGCTCACCATTCATAGGGTGTTACTCCGCTCTAGAAACAGCAAAACCACAATAACAAAGGGCCGGGGTTGTGTTTCGTTCAGCCTGTTTTGCCTCCCGAGCACAAGATACGCCCAGGTCTCTCCCAGCCGGTTCTAGGCTCCACACTCTCACACGAGGGGCCCGTCCCGCACTGCAACCCCGAACTTCGCCCCTTTCCCTCCTCTGCTCTGACTTCGAGGAATCGCTGCGGTGCTCCGCGTGTCCCCACACCTGCGCTCCGCAAACAGGGACGCGGCCGGGCCGAGCCGCTCCGCCCCGGACCCACCGAAGCCCCGGCGATCCCCGCCGCGGGCGTCGTCCCCCGCAGAGCGGCCGGGCCGTGCCCGAGCACCGGCGTTCCCCGCATTAACTCCGGGCTACCGGAGAGCGCAGCTCCCCCGCCCGCCCCGCTCCTTACCCTTCCCTTCCCTCCCCGTCCCGTTCCGCTCTCCGGTGGGACCCGCGCTCACCTCGGCGGAGCCGCCGGCCCGCGGACATCGCCGCAGCTCGGCGCCGCCACCGGCCCCAGCCCGCCCCGGCTCAGCACCGCCCCAGCGCCCGCCCCGTTCCGGCAGCAGGCGGCGGCGGCGGCGGCTCCGAGCGCGCCCTCCGCGGGGGTCGATCCAAGGGCTCAGAGCCCCGAGCGACCGCGCGGAGGGACCGGAGGCGAGCCCCGGGCGGAGCGGGGTGAGCGCGGGGCTGATCCTCGCCTCCGGGGCGGGAAGGGCAACGGGAGGACAGGGCGAGAGGGAGGGCACACGGCGGGAGCTCTGCTTGGCCCTCACGGGCTCCAAACGAGCTCCGGTGCAGCCTTTGGAGAGCAGGTACCAGCATCTGCTCAGCGAACACACCGAGCATCCCCGCCGAGCTGCGAGAGGAGCCGCCACGCTGCGAGCTATAACAACTGCATGCAAGTTTCAGGCACTCTTCAGCAGGGACCAGGCGAGCGCCTGCACCTCCATCCACCACCAACCCTGCGGGTCACATCCAGCCCGTGATGGAGCTCGTACCTTCCCGGCACCGGCTGACCTCCCGCAGGAACGCGCGTGTGTGGGAACCGAAAGGCAACTGCACCGTGAATTCATCATCTTCTGAAGTGATCAGGACAGTCACGTCACAGCCTCAAGACATGGGGAGAAAAAGAGTTCCTGAGGTCAGCCCTCAGCAACTGAGCATCTCCTGCGCTCTGCAGCAGCGGGTTAATGCATGCAGACTTAGCAACAAGCCTCTCCAAGCTACATTTTACATGAGAATGCCATTTAAAAATGGAAAAGTCATCATTTATAATAATTTCTACCCTGTTCATTCAGTGACAATGATTAATCTTCCAGCAGCAGTTTAAAAGCCTCTGGAAGAAACATTCCTTTGGTTGAGCGGGGGGAACAATACTTGTTAACATGAATGAATCACAGCAAACAACACCCCAAGACCCGCAACAGGAGCCAGACAAGATCCCCCCACTCCATAGTCCGGACCACCAGAGCCCCTGCTCCAACCCCATGGGGTGCAGCTGCTGCAAGGGCCCAGGAGCGCTCAGAACACCACAAGAGAACTCACCAAGGACGTGAAGGTCAGTGTCAATTACAACTGCAAACGTAAAACACAGGTTTGGTTACTAAGCAAGGCAACAGGTTCACAGCCCGCGCTGATGAGCTGAGGTTAGTGAGCTCAGTAGGTTCCTCAAATCCCAAGTATTCCTGGTATGCACAGACAGGCAGAACAAACCTGCTGGGGCTGGGAAGGCCATGGGGCGCTCTGCGGTGCAGAGCAATTCATGTAGCAGGGCCCTGGCAGCAGTGTGCAGTGCACGCAGGAGTCACCAGGGATTACAAAATGACTTACAAATGTGAAAGCTGAATAAATCCCAAATGTCATTAAGTAGAACAACAAACTATGGATTCTAAACTCTGGAGGCTGCCGCTAAGGCACCCAAGGGTGTTCGTACCTTCTTCCACTGCAAACCCCTCGGTGATGGGGATGACTTTCTCCAGGCAGACATCCTCAGCCTCGATGGCCATCCGCCGGTGCGTGTATATGTGGATCCTGCAAGCACAGAGCAGACACAGAGGCAATGCCTCCTCGATTCAGGCATCGCTGCAGGTGCAGACAGATCCCATCCCACCCAGGATCACCTGCGAGCACAGCCTCATGCCAACCCCAAAGCAGTTCTTGACTGTGCACCCAGCCAGCTGCTCACCCATCATCTGAATACGAATGAATTGTAGACTCCCGGAATCCCAGGCTGGAAGGGACCTCAAGGATTTTCTGTCCAACCTTTCTAGGCAAAGCATGAGCTAGATTCGATGGGCCAGCAGCTTGCGCAGCTGAATCATAGAAGGGCTGAAAGGGACCTTAAGGCTCATCCAGCTCCAACCCCTGCCTCGGGCAGGGACCCCTTCCACTGGAGCAGCTTGCTCCGAGCCCCTGTGTCCAACCTGGCCTTGAGCACTGCCAGGGATGGGGCAGCCACAGCTTCTCTGGGCACCCTGTGCCAGCGCCTCAGCACCCTCCCAGGGAAGAGCTTCTGCCTCAGAGCTCATCTCAGTCTCCCCTCGGGCAGGTTCAAGCCATTCCCCTTGGCCTGGCCCTACAGGCCCTTGTCCAAAGCCCCTCTGCAGGTTTCCTGCAGCCCCTTCAGGCACTGGAGCTGCTCTAAGGTCTCCCCTTCAGGAGCCTTCTCTTCTCCAGGCTGAACAACCGTAACAATGCCCAGCGTTGGGAAATCCACCACTTCCCCGGCGACATCGTTCCAGTGCCGGAGTGTGCACGACTTCCCTCTTGTGTCCAGCCAGCACATCCCCAGGAGCAACCCGTACCGTACCCATCATCCCCGGGCTCTCCCATCTCCATCTTCTTTATAGCCCCTTGAAACGAACGCGTCCGTGTCCTGGCCAACCCCAGCGGAGCGCAGGGCCCAGTGTCCCCAGTGCCCACCCGCAGCACGGCCCCGGACCCCCCCCCCCCCCCCTTTCCTCGGTCTTGTCACCTACGCGAGCCCGCGGCGGGTCTCCACCAGGCCCAGCAGCCGGCTCCCCCCGGCCAGGACGCCCTGCACCGCCTTCAGCTCAGCGTCAAGGAACGGCCGCGGCGAGACGGGACCCGCGGCCTCCCGCCGCACCCCCGGTGCAAAGGATACGATCCGGCACGTCGCGCCCTCCGCCAGGCTCTCCTGGATGACAACCGACTGGTCCATGCCCCGACCCCCCGCTCTCAGCACCGCTGCCGGGCCCGGGCCCGGCCCCCCCCCTCCCCGCACAGCCCCTTCAGGCCGCGCCTCCCCCGTTACCGGCCCCCGCAGCCGCCGCTTTTCCGTTACCCTGCGCGCCGGGGCCGCCGGAAATAACGGCACCGCCCCGGAGCGCGGCTTGGCCGAGCGGCAGCGGGGTCGGGCCCGGGTCCTGCAGGCCGGGCCGGGCCGGGCCGGGGCGGCACCGGCGGCTGGATGCAGCGGAACGGGCAGGGAGGGAGCTCCGCGGGAGGGTAGGGCCAGGAGGGCTCATTCCATCAGGAGCACCTTGAGCTGTTTCCGTGCTGGATTTCAGGACCCGGCTGGCACAAGTCTGCTTATTGTTAATTATTATTACATTAATAACTACGGGACTTCATTAACACCGAGGGTGTGAGCCATCCCCAGCCTTCTGCGTGGAGGTGGGGGAGTTTGGCCTAAGCCAGGTCTTCCCACAGATGCAGGAGCAATAGCCGAGATCTAGGGATTAGGAAACACCAGAGCAGTCCCCATTAACGTAACTGCTCTCCCTCTGCCTCCCCGCTCCCGTCCCTGTGCTCCAGCAGCCATCCAGGGTGGATGAAGGACTGCAAATAGGAAATGAACAGGCTGAAATAGTCACTGTCAACCCCTGCTCTGACAAGAAACATAGAGCTGGGGTTGAGACGGAAAACCCCTTGGTTTGCTCCTGTGGATACACTGCTACTGTGGCCTGAATCAGATTCCAAACACACCCTTGCGCCGTGCTCGGGATGCACTGGACCCGCGCCCTGTGACATGGAACGGGCTGGATACAGCTTCCACCAGGCTTTTCTCACCCAGCCCCACATGGGCTCCTCGCTGGCTCCCAGCCCACAGCCCCTCACCAGGGCTGGCAGAGCGAACCCCTTCCACCAGCGAAGCGGCCCCTCCAGGCCCTCCCCCGGAGCCCCGGCGCGCTCAGACACGCTCCAGCCCCTGACCAGAGCTCTGTATTTGTGCAGTCCTGGAAGAGACAGCGGCGGCGGAGGGCAGCGGAGCGGGCGCTGACACCGGTGCGTGCTACAGCACATCAGCGCTGGCTGGTGCAGGAAGAGGCTGGAGGTGGTTCACGTCACGGCTCTGCTTTAGCGGCAGAGAATCACAGCGGTGGAAGGGGATCAGCTACAACAGGAGATGCTTTGAGATGAATCCCGTTTTCCTGCTTCACAACTGGAGAGGAGACGCAGTTCCTAATTCCACCGACCCAGACAAGAGGTATCCCAACACCAGAGCAGTTTTCAAACTAACGAGTAAGAGGATGCTCAGAAAGGCCGCACTGTGAGCGGATTAGCAACTAAAGCAAGCTCTGTGCCTTCAGTCAAGGCAGAACTTTCTGGGGTTTAAGCAGGCTTAACCCCATCCCATTCCTGCTCCCAAGGTTACTCATCCAGCATCCATAGCCCCATCTGCAGCAGCTCCCAGAAACCCGTGTTGGCTTGCAGATCTCCCAAGCCTCCAGGTTTTTGGCAGCACAGGGAACAACGGCCCTTTGCAGCTTCCTTAGTGCATGGATTAAATGCCTTTCCTCTGGCTGTGCTGGGGGAGGCTCAATCACAAGGAGTTAAAACTCACTGAATGCAAGATGCCAAACAGGACGTGGGGCTCACCCATCCTGGGAAGGTGCAGGATTTGGAGTGGAGCTTAGGGATGAGAGGTGGGAATTGGGAATCAGCATCCAGGGCCTGCGTAGGGCTGAGCTAAGCTCAGAGGCCTAGGCTTGCCCTGTGGGCAGGAGGCACCTGCACAGGGGAAGAAGCAGCCACATGCAACTGGGCCACCTTGGGACAGGGATGGAACAGAGGGTGTTCAATAGCGGCCTTGGCTGAAGCCAGAGAGCAGCAGGGATGCTGAGGAGCACTGCAGAGCATCCAGGCTGCTGCTTACCCCCAGAGGGAAGCAGAGCCCCTGGAAGTGAGGAGAAGAACCACCCCACACACCATGAGCTTCATGAGCGGGGCCGCAGACACCCGCCCAGCACCACTGACGTGGACTTTGCCATCCAGCCTCAGGCAGCTGGCTTTCAGGGTGGCTGGGCAGCACTCCTGGTAACAGGCAGCCTTGGTCCCAGCAGCACAGACTGGTTTGGCAGCCTTGCAGGCTTTGCTGCATCCCGCCATGTAATTCAAGCCCATCTTCTTCATCTGGAAGGAGGAGAGAGACGTTAGCCTGGGGGCCCGGCCAAGCTTTTAGTATTCAGATCACAGGAACCCTGCAGGCTCCTGGGCTCTCCTGCTCCTTACCTCACAGAAGTCCTGCCCAACACTGCATCTAGCAACAGCCTTCTTGCCTTTGAAACATCCATCCCCGTGACAGGAGAACGCTGCGCACACCTTCCCCTACAAGAGAGGAGCAGACACTGTACATTCAGCAAGCAGGACAAGCACTGAACTTTAGACAAACCCCTCCCTTCCCAAACCCCTCTCTGTTCTGCCTCAGGCATTTCAGATACAGAGATAAAAAGGCAAACAGCACCCATCTGAAACTGGAGGAAGCTTGAGTGAAACACCAGCAGCACAAACGAGTTTCAAGCCTCCTTTTCCTTCCTCTTCAGAGGCCTCTGCAAAGATAAGCACCTTCCCCTCCATGCAGGTGGTGGAAAAAGGCTGCAGTGCCCCATCGGTCCCTGTGGCTGCAGGAAAGGCTCCATGCAGTCAGCTCCGACTGCTTGAATTGATGTAAGCACTGGGCTTGGGAGCAGGCCCGTTTGACAGGGCTCATGATGGACTCTCCTCTTTCAAAGCTCATTGAGGATCCCCTTCCAGAGGCTGCTTTTCACCCCATAAAGCAGGTGCAGGAGGGGTGCAGGCAGTTTTTGACCCCATAAAGCAGACCCAGCACCCACGGCCACAGCAGCATCTGCCTGGCTGGTACCTACGTTGTGGGGGGGAGCTCTGGAGGTGGTGGTCGTCGGTGGCATGGTGGCAGGGGGCAGGTCACCTGCAGACACAGACAGAGCCCTGTGAGGCTGTGCCCAGCACAGAGCCCATGCAGAACCCTCCACAGCCACACACGGGACATTCACCACCACAGTTCATGTGCGGAGGAGATGCAGCGATGCAGCCCCAGCTCTCTGCAATGGGTTTTACCCATCATCATCTCCCTCCTCCACAGCAGGACTAACCTCAGACCACTGTGGGCACTTACCATAGGAGCTGGCGTTGAGCTGCAGGCAGAGGGAGGAGTTGCAGCAGTCCAGGGCACACTCGGGTGTGCTCACGCTGCTGTTGGCCCTGCACATCCCCGAGCCGCAGGCACTGCTGCACCTGGCTGTGTAGTTTGTGCTGGAGAAACGATACAGCTGCAACAGCAGAGCCAAAGGAAGGAGGGTGAAGAGATGCCTTTGTGAAGGAGCAAAAGCAACTGACAGGCTGCCACAGAGAGACAAGGGAAACAGGAGAGTCATGGGCTGTCGTTGCGTTGGAACTGGATGACCTTGAGGTCCTTTCCAACCCAAACCACTCTGTGGTTCTGTGATTCTATGACACAGACTAACAGGGTGCTGTGCATTCCCGATACAAAGGAAGAGAAAACAGACTTTCCCCTCTCAGAGCCCCGCTGCAGCTCCGTACCTCACAGTAAGTCTCATTACGGCAGGTCACCGTCTCGTTGGCGTGGGCTCCATCCTGGTAACACCTCTCCCCGGAGCACTGGAAGCTCTGGCAGGTGAGCTGGAGCTGGAGGGAGAACACACCAGGGTGTCACCGTGCGGCAAAGCCTCCTTGCAATGCACCACGGCGCTGCCCCCAACCATGGCCTCGCTCTCTGCAGAAGCTGCCTCCATGCACCCACCGTGCCCGAGGTGCTCCCCTTCCACACAGGGGATGCTCTCATGGGACTCCTGGTTCTCATGAGAGATCAGTTGGGCTGCAGACCATGTCCGTGGGGCTCTAACAGCCTGGCCAACAACCACCTTCATGCCATTCCTTTACTTACCTTCATTGCTTCTGTACCATTCACAGAGGCGTTGGTGGCCACCGAGGCTTTGGGGATGGTCACCGAGGTGTTGGGGACCACTGAGATGCTGGGGGCCACTGAGGCTTTGGGGACCACCGAGGTGTTGGCAGCTGCCACCAAGGCTTTGGGCACCACCGAAGAGTTGGGGACCACCGAGGTGCTGGGGACCACCGAGGTTTTGGGAACCACTGAGGCATTGGTGGGGACCACCGAGGCGCTGGGGGTCACTGCGGTGTTGGGGGCCATTGAGGTGTTGGTGGGGGCCACCGAAGTTTTGGAGGCTGCGTTGTGCTCTGGAAGACAGAAAGTTCCCCCTTGGTAAAGGAACCGCCATCAGCCTCACCCTGCATCCCTTCCTGAACCACGGCAGGGCCCAAAGGGACCTGTGGGAAGCATCAGTCACGTTGTGGTTGGGGTGTGGATGGCACCCAGTGACAGGATGTCCCAAACAAGGTCTGTTTGCAGCCCAGAACCTCCAAGTAGCTCCCAACAGAGACAAGAAGCCACCGCAGCAGCACTATGGATATTACATCAGCTTCTCCCTCCCCCTTCCAGCTATCCTGCATGGGAAGAACAGGCTTTCAGGGGTCAAAACCTTGGTGAAAGGGTCCTCAGCAAGGCTCCATCCTATAGAATACAGCCTGGAGGGGACAGGAGCAAAGTCCCTATCGCACCCCATTGCCTTTGCCCCGCTCCTCACAGAGCCCCCCCCAGCTTTCCCTTGGGGTACAGAGCTCACCTGCTGCAGCAAGAGGCTCCTGGAAGCAGAGGTGCAGAGCCAAGACGCAGAGCAGCAGGCCTGGAATGGAGTGGGGATGGCTGAGGCCACCGCTTCAGCCACAGCCCAAGGAGCCTCCCAGCAGCACAGGATGCTCACCCCAACACACCAAACCCAGCCTCCCCGGAGCAGGGAGGTTGTGGGGAGCCCCCCAGACACACCAGGGACCTGTGGTGGTTGCAGGGACCAGCCCTGCTGCAAATCCCTGCCCAGAGCCCCCGGTGACAGCAGCCACCCTTGTCCCAAGGAAGCCTCTGGCAAAGCCTCCAGCAGGGATGGATTCCTTGGGAGCACCGGGACAGCCACTGCAGCACAGCCCCTGTTACCTTGAGCAGAGGGGATGAGCCGCCGGTGCCCTGCCATCCCCATCCCCATCCAGCAGCAGCTTCTCCCAGGACCTGGCAGGAAGAGGCAGGCTCAGAGCCGGGCAGCAGGAGAGGCCAGTGCAGTGGTCACTGCCCTCATGTGCTCCCTGTGCGTGCCCAGCACATGGCTTGGGATGAGGTGGCAGAAACAATCAGGACAAGGTGCTTAAGAGAGACTTTTGAGTCTGTTTTCTCATAGGATCCCAGAGTGCTTTGGGTTGGAAGGGACTTTAAGGCTCATCCAGTTCCAACACCTTCCACTAGAGCAGCTTGCTCCAAGCCCCATCCAAGCTGGCCTTAAAGGAACCATTCTCCCAGGAAATTCTACAGCCTTTATCCCAGACACCACGGGATACCAGAGAAATCCATGTTGTTCAGTGCAGTGCAGGCCATGCTTTTCAATCTGAAGCTCCTTGCAATAACAACACCCACCAACAGCACCTCTGCAGACTGCCCTCCACGTCCTCTCAACAGGTTCCCAACCCAGAAACCACCTAACATGTAAATAACCAAGTAACTCAGCACTGTCTCTGTGCCTGCCTGCACTTAGGGAGCAAGAGGAAGGTGCTTTGAGCCTCAGCTGCAGCAGGAGGTGGTTGAACAAGCGCAAAAGGGGCCTGGGAGGATGCCCCTGGGAGCCACGTGCTCCCGTTGGTGTGGTAACCCTGCACCAGAGCTCGCAGCCAACACACCAGCTGCCAGGAGCATGAAGCAGGTCCAGATGATGCTTGGCACCGTGCAGCAGTTAACTGATGCTCTGCAAATAAAGATGTGATCCAGCAGCAGCAGCCATCATGGGAGGATGAAGCTTTCATGGCTTCACTGAGGCTCTTCATTCCAAGCAAATAGAAGACAATGCAGGCTGGCATCTTTTAGCTTCCAAAGTGGGGCACCCACCACCCAGACAAGGTTTGGACCTTACTGAGCAGGGCACCACCCCAGCACAGCCCAACCCAGCTCAGAGCAGGCTTAGGAACAAACCCCCACCAGCCACAGCCTCATCCCAGGGCAGGGAAAGGGAAGAGCCCCCAGCACTGACTCACCCTGCCCGGCTGCTCCTCGAAGCTCCAACGCCAGCACTGGAGAGCCTGCAGCCACTGCCAGCACTGGAGAGCCTCTGAGCACCACAGAAGCTCCGGTCCCACAGGCTGCACCCTGGTGCCAGCAACCAGCTCCACCCCTGCCAACCACCCATCACCCAGGGGAAGTGCTTGTTACCTGGGACTCCTGGAGATGCCAACGGCTCTGCAGAGACCACAGGGAAAGGGGGCTCATTTTGAAGCTAGAGATGTCACCACACAGCTCTTTCGAGTCAGTAACAGTGCTGCAGAAGTGACCCCAAACTGCCCACCCAGCCCAACCTAAACCAAGCTCAGTGAATACCCTAAAAACATCCCAGTGGCCAAAGCTCCACAGGGAGGCAGCCTGAGGTAAAAGCAGCAAGAAGCCAAATGCATTTGTTTTGCAAAGGAGCCAGAAGAAAACCATAGGAATACAGCAAGACACAGGACAGTTACTCATGTCAGCACACAACGCCCGTGTGGGCTTTATAGAAAGTCAATTCTCATCCCATATATTCCCATCAGCGTGGAAATAAGAGAGAACAAATTGCTTCTGACAACTCAAACTGTGTACAAAGCGTTTTAAAACCACCACAACCAAAGCTCTTCCTCCCAGCATAAGAAAGGAAACAAAGCTCCTCAGCACTTCCTATGTTAAAATCGGTTTATTTTTTCATGTTTTGCTTTCTTTTAATATAAAACAACGTCACAAGTCTGCTTTTCACGCGGGGCTTACTAAAAGTGACCCTAGAAAGTATCCTTGGAATCTCTATTCATGCACATACAAAATCAGGGGCTGAAGAGTCATCTCCACTTGCTTTGCCGGGGTGAAATCCTTCATGTGGGAAAAGCTACAGCAGCCCCTGACGTTTCAGGTCTTCATAGGTCTTTTTATTCACCACGTTCCCACTGGAATCCTCGTATTCCTCCTAGGATGGAACCAATGGTTTAGAGACACCTGAGGCTGTGCTACGGCATTTAAAGTTCAGCTGCAGCCAAGAACCTCTCCACATGAAGGGATGCAGTGGATCTACCAGCAGGCCCCATGAGAAGAGCTTATCCTGAGGCAGAATGATTACAAGCTGTAGTACAGGCTGTTATTTCATAGAACCATAGAATGGTTTGGCTTGGAAGGGACCTTAAGCTCATCCAGTTCCAACCCCCCTGCCATGGGCAGGGATGCCTTCACTTGCCCTGCATACTGGTTTGAGATAGACTATAAGAAAAGGCACACTGCTCACAACAGCTCCTTCTCCTCACAAAACAAAGAGGACACTGGTACTGTAAAGCAGCAGCATATTAAAGGATTCTTACACAAAGGGCTGAGCCTGTACTCTCTGGACCACTCTCCAACATAACACAAGAGGCACTTTCCACACAGCACCACTACCAGGAGCTGTGCAATGAGCACAGTTCCTGCTGCTGTCTCCAGTGTGCAGGAGGCTCTTAGAGACTCATCTGACAGAACCAGAGGGTTCAGGCCAGGTAAGCTGGGGATCCCACACACACAGGACCAGACACATCCAAATGCCTCTGTCATGCCTCACCTCTGTGTCAGGCTGCCATCTCTCCGAAGCCTTCTGTTGTTTCAGCTTTGCCCACACTGTAAATACAAAAGTCATACAGGATCTGATGCCATTTCCCTTGAGAAACTGGTTTTTAATCAGGTCAAACACACAGAAGAGCTTTTTGCAGTCCAGGATATCTAATATCCATTACAAACTTTTCATTCTTGTGTATGGTTTACTGAAAGGCACAGAACCAAGGCAAGGCAGGCTTCAAAGGGAGCATTCAGGATGGGACACAAGATAAAGATCCAAAACCACTACTTCAGAGATACTGCTCCAAAGGTAATAATAGCTTTTTGGGAAATCAAGCCTTTAATTGGTTTCTTCTAGGCAAGAATTAATTTACCTCCAGGAACTACAACCTGTATTGGTTAACCTAAGGGAGGCAGGCTGAAGAAACAAGCTCTGCATGAGACAGAGGCAGCTCCCTCAATCCATCAGCACAGACGCATCGAGCTGTAATCACTGTCAGCCCTAAGGACTTGTGTAGGCTTGCAAAAGCTGCCTATAGGCTCTACCAGTTCCAAAGTATTTTTCTGGCTTCCCCAGGTCACCAGGAAAGGGCAAATCAGGCAAGAGCCAATAGAAGTGTTCACAGCACAAGCTCTCTGTTCTGCCATCGGTACTTACATGAGACCGCATCCTCAATCTGTGTGACGTTGGCAAAATGCGCAGTGTTGGGAATCCCCAGGCATCTCATTCCATGAGCATGTCGCCATTCCTGGGGGGAGGAGATGTAGGTCAGTGTCCCAGAGGGAATGCTGCTCCATCTGCAATGCCTGAGACTATAAAGACACACTAACAAGCACTATCAAAACACAAATCTAAACAGAGTCCTAAAAACCTCTGTTATTTTCCTCGCCTTTAGACAATCGACAGAGGCACTGTGCACAAACCAGACCTGGATACAAGAATTAGGTGTTCAAACAAGAAGGAACTGGACAGAAACTGGCACAACAGATCCTAGTGCCACAATACAGCTACACGGTGTACAGTTCCAATCACAACCCTACAGCATCAGCCCAGACCCACATGTCAGCAGTGGAAAAAGGGCACCTGAGCACTCCACTGACTTACTATTTCTTACAAAGATTATCTGAACCTGGTATTGATGTTGCTGTAGCAGAGCATTACTCACTGCAAAGTGACGCTGGAAAGCCTTGGGCCCTCGGTAGGTGTAGTTACCACAGATCTCACAGTTGTAGTTGATGTTTAAACCATGTAATTTGTACAACCAGTATGGGATTGGCTGGCAAGAGAAGAGAAATGGGGATTAGGTCAGATAGCAAGGCAGGTTCAAACAGCAGGACAGTGGGGAGACAGTGAGAGCTCCCGCTCTTCCAGCGCTGTTACCTTGCCATCCCAACCAAGAGGCAGGTTTTTAGGATTATAAATGATTTCGTTTTCTTCATCTTCACTCTCACTCTCACTGATCTGCTCTTCCTCCTCCTCCTCCCTCTCCTCCCCTGTCCGT